ATAATAGAAACTAGGGATCGACCGATATGGCTTTTTCAAGGCCGATACCGATTATTAGTAATCAAGGAGACCGATAACCAATATTTGGAACCGATATACATTTGCAGTAAAATCAGAAAATCTTGGTGTCAAAATGTAGAATAACACAAACTCAACACAACTTCTTTGAAATGCATTTAAGCATATATTATGTTTAATTAACTTTTAAACATCTTACAACTGGTTTCCTCTCTGTGCCCTTTTCTTTAGTGCAGTCATCTGCAATGAGTTAGAGAGAGAGACAAGAAGTGGGGCTGCAGGCTGACATGCTAAACTAACAATAATGCTTCATTTATTAGATCTGTCTAACCAGCATAACATCCCAATAAACTGCTTGCAACTGCAAAACACTAGTGCTAGCTATTGTTTTGCAGACTATTAGAAGTGAGGCTATTTCAGTAGACCTAACGTTAGTCTAGGAGCCTCACTTCTAATATGTTGCTAAACATTTGCTAGATACATGTTGGCTAGCTAATGAGCTTCACATATCAACCTGAAAAACTGCGAGGCTCCACTCGCAGCCCCTCCCCACCACAGTTACTCCGCTGCGAGACGCTGCACGCACCCCCAAGTCTGACTGACTTCCCGCGTCCCTGTGTAACTGGGAAACTGATAGAATTGGATCATAAGATGGTGGTGTTTTTGCAACTTCAGCATAGGGGATAGGGATGTTTATTGAACTTCGGTTTAACACATGTATGGCTCTGCCGCTCAGCGCTGCTGCTTGCTTCAGTCTGTGTCTGCGTTATTTCGCACCTGCCTGTAATCTGAGAAGGTCCCGCCTCTCTGGCTCCCGCCCGGAAGATCTTCAGTAATAGCCTATCAGATAGCGCTGTGGGCGGGACATTGCTCGTGTACACAGAGTGGTGACTGCAGCCAGAGAAACGGCCGCATCAGAGCCAAAGTTTTATCGGCAATTTGATTTAAAAAAAAGGCCGATACCGATAATCGGTCAAATGCGGAATATCGGCCCCGATAATCCGCCAAGCCGATTATCGGTCGACCCCTAGTAGAAACAATTGAAAGTTCCCTCACAGGGGATCAACATTAGGAAAGTGAATTGTAATGAATACTGTATTAATATTATCCACGGTCACTTTCAAATTCAGATACAAATGTTAAGTGTGAAAATCAATAGGTGTCATTTTCAGATAAGTGTTATGGAAGCCATGAAAACTATGGAAAGGTACCATATGAATTGGCTTTAAAGGTCCTACCGATAAATAAATAAAACATTTTGAAAACATAATTATCTACAGTTACCAGAATAAAAGGGCACATACAAGCTGCACATCAGTAGCAAGTAAACAACTGTTTACCCTACAGAAGCAGATGGTTGTGTATTAGGATCTATTAAGGTTATGTGAACACTTAACGGTAACATAGTGGTTTAAAGGACATTGTTTGTCTATGAAGCAGGACCCTGTTTGCATCAGACGTCTAACTTACGCTTTTACATCAGCAGCATCTTGCGAGGTGCGAGTCAGGGTGCGGGATCGAAGCCTCTCGCCCGCCTGCTGGATCTCCTGGAGGTTTCTCTCAACATGCGGCAGCTCTGACACAGCTTCTGTCTCGGCTGCGAGCTGCTCTGCCTGCTGCAGCAGCTCCCCAAAGCCCTCTGCATCCATACCTGTAGAGAGAGGACAAGAGTGTGTGAGTACAACACAAATCAGAATGGGTTTTACTACCACATATATATATATATTTACACATACGGGGAATTTGGTTTAGTATAATATGTGGTGCATACCAAGACAAACAAAGAAGAATACGTAGCAAAACTAAATTAAATAAAAATAAGACTGTTATGACGGGTATTTAAAAAAATAAATGTTTAAGACTATTATAAGAAATGAATACAACAAAGACGCTATACTTGGATTAGTGCCAGGAGATTCAGTCTACAGAACAAAGAGAGTCCTGGAACTAGTTGGACAGTGAGGCTGCTAATAGTCTGTGGCTAATAGTCTGTGGTACAGCAGATGTGATCACATGAAATAACCATGAGGTTAAAATGGTCAATCTTAGCTTCAATCTGAGGATGAAAATGCACACTGGGTGTCCACTACTTCATACAACAAACACGACTGTACTGATACATAGACATGTTGTATGCTGAGACAGATGCTACAGCTAAAGCACCCCAAACACTCAGAAGATTTAAGTGAAAAGTTAATCTGCCTTCACTCCAACAGGTCTGTCCTGTGTTACATTTCACCTCGTGAGACATAGTCTTTAATAATATGCAATTGTTTTTTGCGGTGCTGTATACTTGATGCTTTTGAGGTGAAGGTTTCTGGCAAAGGTCAATTTGTCACTGGATGTTTAACATCTTTATATAGTCTGGTCTGTCTTAATTTGCCCACAACCCTTTACCATCACATCGGAATAATCAGAGCAAAATCCAAAGCACATTTCAGACAAATCGGGAGTAAACTATCTGTAGCCTAGACATACAGGCGCCACACCGCTCTTGACAGCTGACGTAAACAGGATGACAACTACAGCGCGGGCATGGACTGCCCTGGTACTCACATTATTTTTAGCACAATGCTAACCCCTTGGTTAACTAGTTTAGAAAAGGGTACATAAATAACAAAGTTACAAATATAACAAGAACCTCTTATTAAGAAAACGTATTTCCCGGGCCTAACTTTCTTGTATGCTACATTAGTTAGCTTTATTTCAAAAAGAATGGCGCACTATAGAGAGCTAGCAGGCTGCATTGCTAACGGTATCTCACATGCTCGCAGTTGAAAAGTGAATATTGAATTGGAGGCAGACCCACTTCCTACCTGTTGTGTAGGACTGAAGTAAGTATGTTCCTGTCTGTATTCCTCGGGTGAATGTATTTAGAGTTTAACTCTTATTCAATGTTGCTAAGCAGTAGCACAACATGCATGAAAGTATTATTTGCCCCGGCACTTCTGGAGTCGATGCTGATTGGACGATACCCGGTCCGAGCCGGAAGTTGGTCTTGTTCGTCTTCTTCCGATGTGATCCATCAAACCGCGCTGCTCTGCCTGCTGGATGGGAGAACAACCAGTGCAAGGGCTGACTGAGAACATAGTTAACATAAATAATACCCCACATTCAAACACCAGTGCAGGAACAATTATTTATAATTTCTGTGGTTTTATTTTCAAGACCTTTGATTCCTTTTGGTATTAAACATGTGATATCAAAGTTCAAATGACAAAAGGAGTTGAAAGGTTTTCAGGTTTTGGAAATGCTTTTTGTAAACAAAGAAGCCAAGTATGATCTTTAGTTGGGAATATTACAATAGTCTACTTCTGCTTCTGATAAAACAAATATATATTCTAACTTTAATGCTTACAGCTTGACGAAAAAGCACATGACCAATAGTTATCAACACAATTCCTCCATCCTCCATGCCTTGGGAAGTCCCAATTTGTTTAACAAGAGAATCTTACACGTTGTACATTTTTAATACCGTTGTAAAAGTTGTATTTTATATTTTAAACTGTATTATTGTAAACATTATTTTTGCTTTTAGATGCATTTTGTTATGTGTCTAACATTTCACAACCCCCAAATGGTTTACCCTTTCATTGTTCAGGGCCAGCTTGTGAGGGAACGCTGCAATACACCTTTGAGGTCAATTGTTCACAAGATCATAGAGTGCAACCATAAGCACCAAATATAATAAATGATTAGACTGACTTTATCATTTTTGACTGTCTTTCCAACACAGACACAATTAAGTATTATATGCCTGTGTCTCTTTTCTATGAGAACCCATCGCTCTTATGTTCTTTGTAAAGTACCATAAGATTGGTGTCCACACATCTCTGCAAGTTGACTTGATTTTCAGTCACTGAGAAACTCCTGAAACAAGTCTTTAGATGAGGCTGACGTCCTTGCTGAATAACTGTCTGATGGATCGTGGAGAAAGCCATAGTCATACCAATGCTCATTAGTGTTGTTGCCTCATGAGGAAACCAACCATGGTTGGTTGAAACCAACCATGGCTGCAGCTTGATCACAACGCACTGACGGTTGATGAAAGGCTGCTTCCAGACTACCGTCTGTTGCTTAGTTTTGGACAGACCTATGGGGACAAACCCCGAGAGCTTCTCCATTATATAATACAGTACACATAACTGTTATAAAACACAGACAGTGTGTAATGTTTACTTCAAATCACCAAGATCTTTAACCTTCAACATTTTGCTTTTGGATAACTCAAAACCATCAGGATGTGCATCACTCTTAGGGCCAATTTAAAATAAATACGTTTGGTGAAAAACCGACATATTCAAATTGATGTAAAAATAATCTGTTATTTAGCTTTTCATTTTTTCCTCTACATTTAAAGTGATGGGAGGCAAAGGAGGAGTAATTGGATAACCATTTAATGGCAATGGGATTGTGCATGCTCAGAGATCCTTAATGTTATCACTTTCACCAGGGTTGTTTTGACAATTTTAAATCTCAAGCAATGGAAAAAAGTTAAACACAGGAGCTACTTGTTCAATTCTCTTGAAGTAGCAAAATGACTGTCAACATTGCGTTCTAGCACACACCAAGTCTGTTCTCTGCCAAGAGAGGCTACACTCTGGCCCTAAATACTTTGTGAGCTATTCACATGTACAAATATGCAATATTGGTTACTTTTTTAATAAGTTTGCTGCTTTAGCAAATCACATTTCCAACACGTTTTGCAAGACAAGACGCACCACTAGTCTGAGGCATCAATGTTTCGACAGTGACGGCGTGTCTGATCATGGAGTTCATCACCTTGTGAATTAATTTTCCCTTGATCCTAAAAATCAGGATTGACCATTGCTGCCATAACAGCAAACTGTGTGCTGCCTCCCTACAGGGTGACATTGGGCCATTGACTGCAGCAGTACATCTGAAGCACCTCAGCTCATTTTACCAAGGCTTGAAACCTTATACACGAGTTCGATTTCTTTAAGCCAAATCAAGACATCAGATTTTCAAGGAACTGCATTTATTTCAACATCGTAAACAAGTACAAAATTCACCATTCTCTGTAGACATTTGCAACAGGAATGTAGTCAAAGTAGTTCACAAAGGCTCCATTCCAAGAGCAGAAGCGGGCTGAGGTCCTTCACTGACAGCAGCTTGTGTCACAAGTCTTCCCTTTGCACACGCAGCCAGAGGCGCATTTGGTGCAGCCGGATGGGCAGCATGGGCAGCAGCCTGCAATACAACAACAAAAAATATGTTAAGTGACAGTACAGCAAAAAGTTATATTTAGTACTAAATCCAGGACATTAACCTATTGGTGCCCCAAGACTATATTTATAATGAAAAACCAAGAGGCCACATCTGATCCACTGGTCTAAAGCTTGAAATCTGGGCATTTATCCAACATTACATTTTTAAATCAAATGGCAAATCCCTATGGGAAAATGTACTAATAAAAAGGGTCAATTCATTTTACACTGCATGTGGGTATATTGAGAGTTAAAGTAGATAGATATGGTACAGCCTTTTCTTTCCATATATAGTTAGTCTTTAGCCACATAAAGAACAGCAGTCCATTTAAAAAGAATACAACTGAAAATTGAGCATTAACACTTTTAGATTGGAGCTCATTATCCCAATAGGAGCCACCTGGGCAGTTGCTCACAGCAATTAAAACAAGGGGATACCAGATACAGACTACAAAACCCCCAAAAAGCAAGTGATAAAATGTAAAGAAACTATACATCACTGACATGTTACCTTTTGGCCTATAGATAGCTGCGAAGATAATATAACATCGTGAAAAGAGTGTGAGGTTAGGCCATATTGCATCCACGTGCATCCCTCCCCACGTGTCGAGGTATTGGACTTACTCTTCTTGCAGCTGGTGCAGGAGCAGTTTGTGCAAGTGCAGGATCCTCCGCAGTTGCAGGTCCCACCTGGAAAACCAAGTCATCTTTATACTGTATCGTCCATATGCAGATATCATACTATTTTTAACGACTAATGTCAAAGCGTAACCGTAAACAACACTTACTTTTGGAGCAGTCGCAGGGGTCCATGTTCTCAGGTGATGTCTCTCGTCCTCGTGAGTAGGTGCAGTGTATCTGGTCTCAGATGAGAGCGTGTTGTGAGCTCTGGAAGATGTGCGGTGCTTTTAAAGCCTTCTGGGAACAACAGAACCGGGTGCAAATGCGTCTGTCACGCTGCACGCAGGCACGTGATGATTACAAAGACGTTTGTGCACACGACTTCATGATGAGACATTCAGAGCAGGAGGAATGTCTCTGCTCCCGAGACGGCGTTTTGTCTGAACCTTACATAAGACCCCATTTCCCCCCCATGGAAACACTAAAGCTCGGAATAATTAATGTGTTTACAAACGGAGAAAAACATCAGTGGTCATGGCAGTAGAACACGGGTAACAAAAGTTCATCACGGGTCTATTTTATTTTCAGAGAGTCCTTTGGGACCCTAATAACACCCGTGTCTCCCATTTTATCATTCCCTAACGTGTTCTGTCAGTAATGATAAACGGAGCCTATTGTTTTGGAAGAAAAAAGGCAATTTTATTTTGGAAAACATTTCGGTATGCGCACATCTCTTAATTAATACACTCATGTCATGCGCTCAGTTTGCACACGGATACGCTAAATCAAAGGTCAAATGAATGCGGGTGAGTGCCTAGTCAGGCTGCGATACTGTCATCAACATTGCATTTATGTAACCATTGAACGTGTTTTTAAGTTGCGTTCTTTGACAATAAAAACGCCTACTGAACTGTACCCCTAAATACATAATAGCCTACATCAGCTATGGCCACTCTTGATCCAGTACACAAAACACATTGTTCTACTAATTTGTTTTTTTGACCCACATGTAGGGTCTGAACTGCCATAGACACTGTCCTACATGTCACCAATAAGGAATGTTGTGACCCAAAAAACCTTAAGTGTGTCATGTAGCCTACTGTATTATTTTTAAAAAATAATGTATTCTACTAAATTCATACAAAAACAAAGAAGTATATTCATACACACAAAATGAACAAAATTAGTAGAAGTGGGAGGGCTGAAGCATAGCTTATGGGAAGTAGCCCTCCCGTGAATCATCATTGGCATCAATATAACATTGACATTATTGCGTCAAAAACGCATAAATTAAGGAGTAATGTTTTTTTTTCAGAAATAAAGACACTAAAGAAAACTGGAGAAAAATAAATAAATAAAAGTTAGGGCAAGAAAAAAAATAATGCATATATAAATAGGACAAACGAGATACAAAATAAATGCATATATAGGACAAACTATAGGGTAATTTTCTGCACATGTCAATAGCAGTTGTTAAAACTACCATTTTAGAAAATGAAAATACTATATGTACATACATATGCATGCATAAAAAACAAATGAATAATGATAATAATAATATATGCATATAAACATTATGAACACTTATTTTTATGTTGTGCATAATCAGTACTGTTTTAAGCTTTACATTATGTCAACCCATTTGAATAGATTGAGTTTTTTAAATATGGGAGTTGTGTGTTCATATTCACCAACAACACAGACTATTCGTAAGACTTTTTTTTGGGATGTTATTATTTTTTGTAGATTTGTTGAGTATGTCTTTCCCCATATTTCGGAGCAGTAGTAAAGGTAAGGGAGAAATAGACTGTTATAAAGAGTTCTGAGTATTCTTTCCTCGAGAATGTTCTTAGTACGATACAAAATACCTATTGTTTTTGACAGTTTAGTTTGTACATAATTGATATGGTGCTTCCAGTTGAGTTTTTCGTCAACAAGCAGTCCTAAAAATGTACATGCACCAACTTTTTCTATCTCAGTATTGCACATCCGTATAATGCAGTCATTTCTACTCTCAGACTTTGTATTGAATAACATGTAATTTGTTTTGGTCCAAATTAAGGGAACATGTATTAACTGCAAACCAGTTACATAGTATTTCTAATTCTGCATTCACAATTTTAACAAGATCGCCAAGATTATGATGGGAGCAGAGAATGGTGGTATCATCAATATAGTTTATTTTTATTTCAATAAGAAATTGGTCAAAAGAAAGACGTAATATTCGTTTTGTAATTGTACAGTGTGCAACTTTAAGATTCTGTAGTTAAACATTATTCTGTAGTGGTTAATGTATTGGAAAATCTGAATGTTGTGGCTGCACTCCTTCAGATATAGATTAAAAAACAACATTTTAGGATCATCGGAGTATACAAATAATAGATTTAACTGCTCCAGTCGGTGTCTGCAATAATATTAACCATTCCATGACTCTTAAACTGAAGCAGCTAAATTAAATTAAGCAATAATAATAATGTTGTGCAATCATTTACAAATGTACTGCAATAAGACAACATTTCTTCTGAGTTAAGATTAAGGGACAGACGTTTTTAGTCTTGTTCACAAAGCTGCAACAAATAACTAGCTTCAATATTGATACATTTATGTGATTATTTATTCTATTAACTATTTTCTTAACTATATATCAAATACACTGAAAAATGTTTATCAAAATATCCTGTTTGCTACCAATGATCCAATAGTTAACATTTGGAATGTTGTCTTGATAAATTACTAAAATGGTGTATTAGAATTGTTGCCAATTCTTTTTTGGTATCTTTAAATCTCTGTTAAGTTTACATGAAAATTACCTTTAGCATAGTGTCTCAGTGATCATTCTTATCCATATGTAATGTTTGAGAAGTGTACACCAATACACATACTACACAAGTGTTTTACCCAGTATCGCCCCGGACACCAAGGTAAACAAATACAAGCAGAACAAATGCTTGAAAAAATACCAAAACGGTTCATTAGGTCTTTTAATTTGTGTACAAAACAACATTTTAAACAAAATAACAATGTCTACAACCTCTTAAAAAAAGCGACACATACAAAAAGTTTAAGTCACTTGAAGAGGTTTCTCAATATTGTCCTTTCTATGTACTCAAGATATCCAGTACAGGCTGACATCTTGTACTGGACATAATACATGGGTCCACTGTTGAAGAGGATCTCCAGAGGGTAGTCTGTGTCACTGAGCCTCCTCTACTTGAATTGGTTATCAATGAGGGTGCCCTTCATCATCTTCGTCTTCTTGACGTCCAGTTCCGCCAGCTCCTGCAGCCTCTTCTTGCTCATGCCCTTCCTCTCCAGCTGCTTCTCAATCACCATGGCGTTTTGAGCGTAAGAGTCCGCGATCTCCCTGGCCTCGATCTCCTCCTCCTCTTCGTCGATGGTGGAGACTGTGACGGAGCTGAACTTGCCCATGTCTTTGGTCCTCTTGGTCATCATCACACGGACTTTCTTGGGAGCCTCCGGCTGCTTCTGGCTGTAGACGCTGGTGTTGCCGAAGTTGCCGAACTTCACCACGGCTCCGTCCACGATGAAGGTGGCCGGATGGTTCTTCGCCTGGTGCTGGTAGAAAAGCAGCAGGCCGCACTTGCCGCACTTCTTTCGGTACTGCCTCTCGATGCCATCGGCTCTCTTCAGGTACGCGTTTTCGTCCTGCTCCACGTTGCAGAACTTGTGGGCATGTTTGGCCACATCGATAACCCTGGCTTTGTCCCGGGGTCTCATGGGCAGCTTCTCCAGCTGGCAGTCCAGCACCAGCACCATCTGCCCGCACAGGCAGTAGTAGACATGGAGAGGCTTTTCTCCGTCGTCGTACTCCTCTCGGTCTCTGGTGTCCGAGCACACCACACTTCTCGACACGACCTTCGGCATCTTTACACACTAAAATATGTTAGAAAGCTAGAAGTGTGTAATTAAATGTTGATGTTAAAACGCCATGACGACGAAAACACTGGTTGAAAAGTTGCCTTGTTGAACACGGATATGAGGAAACACTTCCTGTGTCCGTCACTGTTACTGTTCCTACCCGAAACTTGGGTCATCTTTTTGTTCCGCATCATTTCAATGTTCCGCTGAGCCCTGGGTAAATAAACCATCTGGTTGCGTCATGTCCACATTTCTTACCCCCGCAACACATAAAACAAGCAACATGCATATCACATTCGGGACGTTTGATAGTCCAAGGTAAATCTGGATTACATTGCAATATAACATTGGAAAATATTATGTTTACCATCCACTGAGATGAATGTATTAGTTTCAGCTTTTGAGTGTTATGGAGCTCTTTGAGCCCAAATTATCAAATTAAATGTATATCTTCTTTTTTACATTACGTCATTTGTTAGACGCTTTTATCCAAAGCGACTTACATAGATTCAGTGTGGACAATCCCCAGATGAGCACTTTGTGGTGAAGTGTCTTGCCCAGGGACTCAACGACATGCCAACTGCAGTGGGACTGGAACTTGCTATCCCCTAAATCGAAGTCCAGCACACTATCGACTGAGCTACATCCTCTGCTAGCAGGACTGGTGTTGTGTTGCCATACTTGGACTTAAACCAAAGGTCAACATTTTCACTTAATCATTGTTGCTCTTCTAGTAAATGGCACTCTTGTAATTAAATGTTTTTGGGAATATTACCTTTAGGCACTTTAGTTTTCTAAGCAGCATCAAGTATTCATTTTTGCTTGACTTAAATATCTTATGAAAAAGGAACAGTTCCCCCAGGTGGTAAAATCGGGATTGAACATTGCTGCCTTGACACAGAACTTCATCTTTGTATTCTGCCTCCATGCGAGGCTGACCTTGGTCAGATGACTTTATACTGCAGCAGCACACCTGAAGCACCTCAGCTCATTTTACACAAGCTTGAAACCCCCCACACACTGGTTTGACTAGTTTGTTACACCAAGACAGCACAATAATATCAAGTAAATTCATTTATTTCGACATTGAAAACAAGTACCAAAAAAGACATTCACAACAGCAAATTTAGTCAAGGTATTCATAAGGGCTCCATCCCAAAGGCAGAAGCGGGCAGAGGTCAGGCCTTTCACTGACAGCAGCTTGTGTCACAAGTCTTCCCTTTGCACACGCAGCCAGAGGCGCATTTGGTGCAGCCGGATGGGCAGCATGGGCAGCAGCCTGCAAGAAGAAGGAAAAAGTGTTTGTGTCAGCCCAATAGTTAAGTCATCTTAAGTCTGAGGAAGAAAAACCCTCAGGCAGCTGTCACCTTTATCCAGTTAGCTAAGATACCAAATACTCCTTATAGGTTAGAGCCTTTTAATGCCAGTTAAACTTTATGCACAAGGAATTCCAGTGTACTCAAAGTGTTAAGAAACTGTAGTTTCATGTGGTTAAACTAGTAGTATGATAAGAAAAACTGCTTTTGAGCCAAAGACAATATCCAACATTCGGTCAACTTTGAATTCAATTACCCCAATAGGAGCCACCTGGGCAGTTGCCTTAAGCAAAAAAGATGATACCGGATACAAACTTATACATTCAGCATAAACTATAATCATGAAGGAAACATAACATCGTAAGCAATTGATTCTGTAAAAAACATTGACGAGGACAAATTGCACCCGCACTGTGAGGGACAATAATGCAAATATATTACTCTTGTTATGTAATCGATGTATGGATGTCTTGACTTACTCTTCTTGCAGCTTTTGCAGGAGCAGTTTGTGCAAGTGCAGGATCCTCCGCAGTTGCAGGTTCCACCTGGAAAACAAAATAAAGCCAGGTCAGCTTCATATCGTCCAGTAGACAAAGAAAAACGTTAACGTTTCAGCTGCTACAAACGCTAACACCTTAAACAACACTTACTCTTGGAGCAGTCGCAAGGGTCCATGTTCTCAGGTGATGTCTCTCGTCCTCGTGAGTAGGTGCAGTGTATCTGGTCGGAGATGAGAGCGTTTTGTGAGCTCTGGAAGATGGGCGGTGTTTTTAAAGCCTTCTGGGAACAACAGGACCGGGTGCAAACTGCGCCTGTCACGCTGCACGCGGGCACATAGATGATTACAAAGACGTTTGTGCACACGACTTCATGATGAGACATTCAGAGCAGGAGGAATGTCTCTGCTCCCGAGACCAATAGGAGTTGGCGTTTTGTGTGAACCTTACAAAAGACCCCCCCCCCCCTGAAACATTAATTAATGTGTTTACACACGGAGAAAAACATGCATTGACTTAACCCTTTCACGCATAGAGGCTACTACAGCGGACAGCTTTTCAAAAGGTGTTTTCTTATACAAGATGTACAAGATGGGTGGCTGATGGTGCAACTATGCCATCAAAACCCAGGAATATATGCATGAGTTTTGATCATGGTTTTGATGGCATAGTTGCACCATCAGCCACCCATACGCTGCCACTCAGTGGAAGGTCAGTGTAAGTGCATGATAAATGTCTCTAAAGTTTAGAGACATTTATCATTTAGAGTCTAAACCAAGATGAACGACAGAAAGCCAGATGGACCAAGTCACCTGCCGATATCCGGCCAATCCTTTCATGGAAAGCGCCCCCTGTATAAAACATTAGGTGACATCAAGTAACAACTAAGAAATCATATCATTCATACATTGTCAAAGTATTGATTTTATGTTTGCAGGAAATCATGATTATTCGCCTGTCCACTAAAGTGGACGTCATGCATCACTGGCTATATTTTAACTAAAATGCATACTGTTACTGCTGTTCTTCAAAATACTTCATTTGCAATATCTTAAATCAATATACTTAAGTTATTATAATGTAATTTTAAGTTTGCACCTTTTTATTTATCATTTTTTCCAAATGTACAAGTTTTCAGTTTAGACTTTAACGCATATCCACCTGAGTGGACATATAAAACATTTTTTTTCTAAATTTGAAAAAACTAGATAAAAATAAACTAAAGTTAAAATCTTGTTTTTCATGCCACAAGAGCAATAAAAAACACTTGATAAAAAAATCCTGAGTGAGGCTTTCATAATTCATGCATGAAAGGGTTAAGGGCAGTGACACAATAGTTCACTAGTAATATTTCCTCTTGAGTGAGACCTTGGGACTCTTATAACACATTTGTCTCAATTACCAGTAAAGTGAAGAATTAAGCACCGTATTTGGAGGATATGTAAATGTGGAGACATTATTACGATACGCCCTGTACATAGGCCAACTGTATCTATCATGTGCTCAGATTGCGCACGGATTTACGACGAATGCTTACTCAACATGCTTTGACGGGTGCAAAAAAAGATTAAAGTTAAATTAGTTTAGTTTTTTAGGAAACATTTGGTTTCGAAAAAGAGGTATGGATAAGCTACCATCAAATGCATCCTGAATGCCAAAAGCATAATAGTGAATCAGCCTTCCGTATGTGTTGTTTTTAAATGTAATTTATTATAAATAAATCGTTTTTTAACATTACATATGCTTAGTTTTTGAAAGGGTTATTTGTTTGTCTCTTTGTGTATTGCACATGATTTTGCAAAACATTTTTCATTCATATTTTAACCGTATTATAATTCCCTTCTTTTATTCTGAAGGTCAGTTGTATTTCAGGAGACCTTGCCTAAACAACAAAAACAAAGGCTATCCTAAATATATAGGCTACATTGCATATGCCTTTACAATCAAATAACATTCAACTGTTGTTAATTGACCATGTGATCCGTATGGGTTCCGGAATTGTATAATTATAAACACATAAACACATTGGTCTTAAAGTCTGGTTATTTCTCGACAGTAAAAAATGTCAAGTCATAGTGATTTTTAACTATTCAAGATGAACATTGCATGCGTGTAGTTTCGGTCCAGTTGTTTCCTTCACCAAAAGGAATGTTCTGTAATGTTCCTCGGTGTTTTAGGGTCCGTGTCTGCACACGGCAAAAACAAACTGCCAAACGCGACCCCTCCCGCTGCTCTGCACCCGGCTGCTTCAACAAGCCCTCGTGAGCAAACCAAAGTAAATAAACCATTGTAATATGCTGCCTTTACGTACGATGTGCTGTAGGATAAATATTATCCACGATAACACATGACATACAAGTTGTGGCTTGATACGGAGACTACAGCCTACAAACCAGACAGCAAAGTTTCAGCAGTAGCCCAGTTATGGCTGTATGAATATGTTTGTTTGTCACGTTTAGCTAGCATACATTCAACAGGTGGTTGTCTTTTTACCTTCACTCTACCAGGATGTAGGATTTTGTGGTGGGGTCCTGAAGGCAGCATTGTCCTTTTTTTTGCGCTCGCCACTTTCCGGCTTGGTGTTTTTCCACACAGGTTATTGCTAAACATGTCAGTGCGTAAGGAGAATAGACCGTTCATGGTAATGAGCTGACTAATGGGAAGTGACCGAAATAAATGATTTAGAGCTGAGTGCAACTTTTTTCCCCAACTACAGTAATTACAAGACATACATCACAGTCCACAGGAGTAAATACACAGCAAAGGTATAAACATTTTTATAGTATTATTTGTTTACTAAAACCAAGAGGTCGGAGAGCTACTGAGATCTTATAATTGAGTAAAAGTAGAATTACGAAAGTGTAGAAATACTGTCTATGTTACAAGTAAAAGTCCTGCATTCAAAATGTTACAAGTAAAAGTACTAAAGTATGAGCATCAACATATACTTAAAGTACCAAAAGTAAAAGTACATAGGCCTATTATGCAAATAAGTCAATTTCAGAATAATTTATATGATATATTTTGATTATAATTATTGATGCATTAAAGTGTTATCAAAGCTGGTAAAGGTGCAGCTAGTTTGAATGACTTTGTATACTGCAGGGTAGCTTGTGAATTTACTCCAGGTGTAACTAAAGTCTTTAAGTGTTATATTATATTTTTAATAATTAATCAAAATCTGTAAATTTAAGGTGCAAAATAAAAGTATTGGAGTAAAGTATACGATGATTGAACATCATTGAGTCTTGATTCCTTGTCCAATAATATAAAGGTTCTGGCTTTCAAGAAAGTGATCATGTATCATTCATGTTTAGTCTATGAATCCTATGTCACTGATTGTAGAGCGTGTACACTGCACAGAGAGGTGCTGTTGCTTTCAGAGAACTCTAGAGGGAAACATATACACATTATTAGACAATAAGAGTTTTCCTTGTCCAACAGTTTTGAAACTTGGTATTTGAACCATCGGTATTTCAGGTACCCATACAAAAAAAGTTAATCTACATTTGACCTTGCATTGTAAGATCTGCAGAAAAAAACATATATGCAACAGCTAGGCTATGAATGAAACTAATAATATATCAATTAGAAATGATTGAATGGAAAAGTGTAGGATGCCAAAAGCATGTGCAAGCAAGGCATGCTACAATTTGTTTGCATAAAATGTAAACTATGTTGTTTTCTTTCTTGCTCTGACAGTGTACACATTTGTATTCTAAAGATTGGAAGTTGTGACATACGGATCCTCAACAAGACAGATCTAATGTTCTACAATCATTAGGAGGGAAATATTTGTCTTGGTCCTGATCAAACTCTTAATTCTTACTTGTGCTGTGTGCATACGTGTTGGATGATGAACGTGCACGTGTGTATGTAAAGGGCAGAGTTCAGAGGGAATTTGATCCATAGCTACCATGAATGACATGCTCAATACCCTTACAAGCTATTTTACCTTGCATTAAAACAGACCAAAACAAGGCATTGCAAGGTTTATTTGCTGTAATGCCATAAAGTCATCAGATGATTTCACTTGTCTCATTTGATCTATTATGACATAATACAAATGTAATTCATTTTTATTATTATAAGCACATTCAGTTTCTTGTAATCACAATTCCTAATATTGAATTAAGAAAATAATGAAAAAGTTATCATTTTCGAAAGATGATGTCACTCAAACTTAAAAAAGCACAGATCTGACTGGAAGAAGTCCTGCTGTCACTGAGCTCCTTGCTATTTGCTGAGCAGGCTGGGATCTTATTCCACAGACCGCATGCGTCTCTCTCGATCACCCCCAAGCCTCCTGACACAATGAAATGAAGCAAAGAAGACCAGCTTCTAGAGAGAAAACAAATAGTTTTTCTGCATGTTAAATCTAAATCAGGCAGTGGTCCATATGCCACTAAACAAACTTCACTTGCCTTCGGTCACAAATCATATGCTGTGTAAGGAAAGAGGACTAATCTGTTTGATAGGAGGCTGCACACACTTTTTGACGTCCTAAAGCAGGTCAGTTCAGCAGCAATATTATACGATGGGTTCTTTGAAAGGCCAGGCATGATACTCTTTGAAAGCATCAAACAGCTTTTGGGAATTTCTTGCAAACACAGAGTTAACAACTGAAATAATTAGAGTTATTAGTTATTAAGACATGAGTGAATTAGTTTGTATCGAGTTAATTGTTTCTCATATATTCTTATGTTTGAATATGGAAATGAGACATGATCTAATGCTAATTTGGATGCATTTAGGGGAAATCTACAGACACAAATAGACAAAGGTATTAAAATAAACATCTCAATGTGTATTTTAGGATACTTTCTTTGCCTTCAGTGTCTCGCCTTAATTCAATCAGATATAGTCCCTTGAAAAAGGTGAAAAAGGTCAAGCTGAGATATTGCTAGAATGACATCACTTCACTTGCAAGCAGATTGATATGTACAGCTTATCTTTGGTTGTATGGTAGACTGATTCCAGAACAGAGGTGTGAGTGAATTACTGTTGAATAGTCTGATTGGGTGTGAGGGTCATTAATCATGTTAAACAGAGCACATCATGCAGCTTTTGATAAGCCCAGAAACTAGCAGTGCAAAGAGGTGGAGTCCAGTTAACGGAAATGATTCTAAAAAATAGCCAACAGTTGTATTAAAAGATTGTTTCAAGATGTTATGGCATGAGTATATATACAGTATATGACTATTTATACAGGTATGATGCTTTTATTTCACTGTCCTAACTAACCCTGTGTTTTTACCTGCGGCTCTGTTTGCTGCAGGTTAGTCTTAGAAGGCATTTAGGAAATAATGTATAAATGTAAAGCTCTGCCATGTAGAGCATGGACCGTATCCACAGTGTGTTAAAATGGCAAAGCTTTTGAGTTTTAACTGGTTTTCACGTGTGTCTTCTCAAAGAAACTGACTAACATTTATTAATACTATGTTTTTGACATATTTGTATCCAGTTACATTCCCTCATAAGTATGAGGGGACATAATGTATCATGTAACTATTTCACACACATCTTTAGTCAGCTTAATCATGGTTTACATGTCGCTCTCTTTGCAGATTGTGCAATGGATCATGTGCTGAACATTGCTGACAGCTCCATCTTCACTCCGCATGTTTACCCGGCCTCATGGTCGGAGGAGGGGGCCCTGCGTCAGATAGTCAGCCTGTGGCTGGTGACCAACCTGGGAGCGGTGCTGCTCTTCCTGGGCTGTGGTGCTCTCAACTTCTACTACGTGTTTGACCATAAACTCATGATGCATCCATTGTTTCTCAAGGTGGGTTGTTTGTTTAACCTGGTTTACAAATGTTCCCTAGGAAACCAAATCGATGCGTCAAACTGCCATACAATAAGTGTCACGGTGTGTGAAGCAGGTAGGACCCAAATGCAGAATAAAGTGACAATTCCTTTATTTCAAGGCTAGGTGATAACAACGACAAAACAGAACACTCACCGACGAACTAGTCATGACAAAAGACGAACCGACAAAGACAGACAGAAAAACCAGAACTTAAATACACACAAGACTAATCACAGAAACAAGACACAGATGAGGAGGGAGGAGAAAACACAGGGACACCAGGTGAACACAATCGGGTAAATTAGACACACCAGGGAAACTAACGACCGGGAACCACAGACAGATTTAAACAAGACACAACGCAGACAGAAACAGGCAAGACAGGAAGTGAAGACCCTTCAACATAAAACATGAAACAAGACAAGACACCATAAAGACAGATCGTGACAGTACCCCCCCCCTCAAGGGACGGATCCCAGACGTCCCAAAAAAAACCACAAAAGTCCAAAACCTCAAGCAGGGTGGGTGGAGGGGGTCCGGAGGAGGGACGTATCACTAGGCCACCAGGGTGGGTGGAGGGGGTCAGGAGGACGGCACTGAGCTGACCGCCCAGAGGCACAGCAGAGGACCAGGAAGGGATCTCGGGCGGACGGCCCGGGGGCAAGGCAGAGTTCAAAAAGGGGGACTCGGGCGGCCGAGCATGAGGGTGAAGGCAGCGGCAGGAAGAGTCAGGGGGCCGAGATTGCGGGCGAAGACCACGGCTCACAGACGGCCGGGCTCGAGGACGAGGGCAGCGGCAGGAAGCGTCAGGGGGCCGAGATTGCGGGCGAAGACCACGGCTCACAGACGGCCGGGATCGAGGGCGAAGACCACGGCTCGGGCCTCGAGGGCGAAGACCAGAGAGCTCCGGAGGCCGGGCAGGAAGGCGCTGACGGGCCAGCGCCGGAGGCCGGGCAGGACCCGGTGTCGGCCGGACAGGAACCGGAGCTGGTGGGACAGGCCTCGGCAGGATCCCCCACGGAAGAGGACCAGGACACGGGATTGGCAGGACCCCCGGCGAGACAGAGGATGGCGGGGCCTCCAACGGAACAGGACAAAGGGTTGGCAGGACCCCCGGCAGGAGAATAGTCGGCGGGGCCTCCAACGGCACAGGACAAAGGGTTGGCAGGACCCCCGGCAGGAGAGTAGACGGCGGGACCTCCAACGGAACAGGACAAAGGGTTGGCAGGACGCCCGGCAGGAGAGTAGTCGGCGGGGCCTCCAACGGCACAGGACAAAGGGTTGGCAGGACCCCCGGCAGGAGAGTAGTCGGCGGGGCCTCCAACGGAACAGGACAAAGGGTTGGCAGGACCCCCGGCAGGAGAATAGTCGGCGGGGCCTCCAACGGCACAGGACAAAGGGTTGGCAGGACCCCCGGCAGGAGAGTAGACGGCGGGACCTCCAACGGAACAGGACAAAGGGTTGGCAGGACCCCCGGCAGGAGAGTAGTCGGCGGGGCCTCCAACGGCACAGGACAAAGGGTTGGCAGGACCCCCGGCAGGAGAGTAGTCGGCGGGACCTCCAACGAGACAGGACAAGGAGCTGGCAGGACCCCCCGGCAGGAGAGTAGACGGCGGGACCTCCAACGGGACAGACATACGATTGGTAGGACCCCCGGCAGAGGAGTAGTCGACGGGTCCTCCAACGGGACAGGACATGGAGTTGGCAGGACCCCCAGCGGAACCTCCAACCGACCAGGACATTGGGTAGGGAATTGAGACGTGACTCGAGAGGGGACTCGAGAGGGAACTTGTATCGGTCGGTACGCCGACAGGACACGGGGAACTGGCGTCGTCTGGGGAGCCAGCAGGAGACGAGGTGCTGGAGTCGGCCGGTACGCCGACAAGACTCGGGGAGCTGGCGTCGGCTGGGGAGCCAGCAGGAGACGAGGTGCTGGAGTCGGCCGGTACGCCGACAAGACTCGGGGAGCTGGCGTCGGCTGGGGAGCCAGCAGGAGACGAGGTGCTGGAGTCGGGACCATGACTGCTGGAGCCGGTACTTGAGCCGGAACCATGGCTGGAACTGGGGCCGGAAACATGGCTGCTGGGCCCAGTACTTGAGCCAGAATCATGGCTGGAACTGGGGCCGGAACCATGGCTGTATGGGCCAGCTCTGGTGCAGGGACTGCGGTTGTAAGATCCAGTTCTGGAGCCGGAAACATGGCTGTAAGGTTCGGAGCTGAAGCCTGGATCATGGCTGTGTGGGCCGGTTTTGGAGCCGGAAACATGGCTGCTGGGGCCGGCACTGGAGCCGGAACCATGGCTGCTGGGCAAGGAACCGGAACACGGATCCATGGCTGTGTGGGGTGGTACTGGAGCACAGTACCATGGCTATGTGGGATGGTACTGGAGCACGGAACCATGGCTGCTGGGTCCGGCACTGGAGCCGGAAACATGGCTGTTGGGGCCTGTACTGGAGCCGGAACCATGGCTGCTGGGGCTCGGGCTGCTAGCCTGGCCTTGCGACGACTCCTCTTAGCAGCCTCCTGAATACTCCGTGGACCTCCATAAGCCTGACGAGTTCCGGAATACGACTCCTGGACAGGAGCAGGAACTGGGGCAGAAGCACGGGTTGACTTCAGCCGGAACCCACCAAGGCGTATGGTGCCAGGTTGGGAATTGGGAGACAGGGAGCTAGCATGCCTGGAATCACATGCTTGAAGGAAGTCCAAAATCAAGTCAGGTAAAAACTCAACAAAACATGGTTTCTCTGCTGCCAACCGGAGCGCCTCTACCAGAGCGGCCCTCTTCTGCCGAACACTGGACGCTCCCTTCCATCAATCGAAGCAGCAAGCCAGATAGAAGGTTAAATGCTGTAATTCAACCTCCCATGGATCATCTGCTGGGTCCATTTTGTGGTCGGTTCGTTCTGTCACGGTGTGTGTGAAGCAGGTAGGACCCAAATGCAGAATAAAGTGACAATTCCTTTATTTCAAGGCTAGGTGATAACAACGACAAAACAGAACACTCACCGACGAACAAGTCATGACAAAAGACGAACCGACAAAGACAGACAGAAAAACCAGAACTTAAATACACACAAGACTAATCACAGAAACAAGACACAGGTGAGGAGGGAGGAGAAAACACAGGGACACCAGGTGAACACAATCGGGTAAATTAGACACACCAGGGAAACTAACGACCGGGAACCACAGACAGATTTAAACAAGACACAACGCAGACAGAAACAGGCAAGACAGGAAGTGAAGACCCTTCAACATAAAACATGAAACAAGACAAGACAAAACACCATAAAGACAGATCGTGACAATAAGCCCTCTTATATATTTATTTGCCACTTCACTTTGAAAAGAAAACGAAACCCTACATTTGAATTACTTTCTTTTTACTAATCTAAGGAGGACTTTTTTTTCACAGTCCAAGATTTGTCAATAGTTAACATCATGGATTTCATGAAGCACACAATACAGCAGCAATGACCAAATTGGTTACCAGGACAATTGCATCTGGGCAAACATGATCAAATGGCAAAATCTTTTGGAAAATACAAATTTCAATGTTGAAGCCATGACTCTAAATTAACAGCCTTATATAATAAAATGTGTGATGTTAAGAAAGATTTATTATTGCAGACCTGGTGACAATTCAAAGCAAACTTCTCCCACACCTTAACTTTGTCTATCTGATCCAACAACAGAACCAGGTCAAACAAGAGATTGAACTATCAATCATCTCCATTTTCTGGATGAGCTTCCCAACAGTGGCCATTTTCTTCTGGGAGGTCCAGGGAAACAGCAAACTTTTCGACAACATCAGCGAATCTTCTCTGGGTAAGACAACCGTTAAAAACCAGGCTTGAACCTTAGGTGAAATTAAAGGTTATCTAATTACAGTCACCAATGGAATATTACTTGTTTGTTGCAATAGGTCATACACAATGATTCCTAATGAGACTTATTAGCCATTGGTTTGTTTCTTTCTCAGGCTGGCCCGGGGTGTTCCTGAGCATTGCTGGTTTATTGTTCTTTACTGACATGTGCATCTACTGGATACACCGCTTCCTGCACCATAAGAGCATTTACAAGGTGAGCCTTAGCATGTTAATTGCTGGTTCGTAGCAACTCTAAACTATATATTTATATAAACATTTATCAAATGAGTGTATATGAAACAGGTCAGTTGTTGTGATGGACCCACTGAGAATTAACATCTAACAGCTCTACAAAACATTTGAGCATTTCAGCTTGTTTTTTTTTTTAAAACAATGTTTAAGTTGAGTCTCACAGCTCTCGTCATCTGTTCTCCTCAGTGAGCTGCTGTTTTCAGACCTGATAAACCTGCAGGTCCGCTGCAACTCTTACTATTTTTAACTCCAGGCTGAAGACCTTTCTTTTTGCTACTGCTTTTAATTGGACTATTGATATCTCACACTGTAACTTGTAATAATGTATTTTATACCTGTGTTATTCTTAGCTTGTTTTATGTTTATTTTATTCTCTTTCCTTTTTAATGTTAGTTTTAAATGTGTTTCCGCCTCACTACTTTAATGTTGCCATCCGGAATCACCATGCTTTCTAACTTCACCACTTTATGTACCTTGGGAGCCTGATATGTGTTATTTCTGACTGAAACATTCCTGTTATTCAGACTGTGTTTCTCCCCCCTCAGCATTTACATAAGCAGCACCACATATTTAAGATCCCTACGCCTTTTGCCAGCCATGCCTTCCACCCGCTGGACGGCTTCCTGCAGAGCCTTCCCTATCACATCTACCCGTTCATCTTCCCCCTCCACAAGGTGCTGATCTAATGAGGACTACAAGTTAAACTGCATATTTCACAATAATGTCCGTGACATTTGCTGGAAATGTAGCATACGAAAAAAAGTCAAATAAGTACATTATTGACCGTTGTGAAATCTCTGTCAAAAATATGCAGACACTTTGTTAATTGGGTAGCATTTATATTTTTGCCCAAGACTTGAGTGAACTGTAAAACGTTTTAAGTGACATTTGGGATTTTTTGAATTACAGGCGGTCTATCTGTCACTTTTCGTCTTTGTCAACATCTGGACCATTTCCATACACGATGGAGACTACCGCATCCCCGGCCCCCTGATATGTCTGATCAATGGCGCTGCTCACCACGTAGACCATCATCTCTTCTTCAACTACAACTACGGACAGTACTTCACGCTCTGGGATCGTATCGGGGGCTCCTACAGACACCCCTCAGCCCTGATGGGGAAGGGGCCACACGACCACATCCCCAAGCTCATGGCAGAGGCTGCACACACACAGTGAAGATCCAGATATCACTTTTTCACTCTAACCTCTCAGGGAAGCTCCTAAAGTGATGCTTAGAAAAGAGACAATTGCATCAGATGCAAACAACTCAAACTAAGTGAGTTGGTAAGTAAGTTGTTAAAATATGAATAAAACATAATTATGGGGAAATATGTTTTTGTAAAAGATAATGGTGACATGCCAGTTGGCTGGAAATAACACTATACTGCAGTGAATAAAAACCAGCAAAGTAAAGGCATACTTAATTTGTATGTGTTAGGGTTTTAACCAAGCTCTTGTAGCGATCTCTGATTTGAGAATCCCAACTTCATAAAATCAGGGCAATGTTTCTTTGTAATAGGATTGATGGACGTTTTTTTTACAAATCGAACACAGTCTGTGTGTTTGTCCACCACTGTCCTCACTTTCCAGATTCAACCGCAAATGACAAAAAACTCAACAGATGACAGAGGCAAGGCAATTGTCTGTGACCCTTTTCCATTTATGTTATTACAATTTATTTATGAAGAATGGATTAGAAACCCAATAACAATGCAAACATACATTTTGCCTCATCCCTGCTTAGCTGGAACTTGTTGTATATACTTCAGTAAAAATGCAAAAAGATGAAGTGTCCATCTGCATGTATGTATGTTTATGTCCAATAGTCTGATTCCACATTACACTTTCAGTTGCCAGTGCTCGGTGTGTTTTCGTGCAGGCTCTGCAGGGCGAGGTCTGTCCACTTCATCTCTTGCTCTTTCACAGACTCTGTGGAACCTCCATTGTCCTGCTCAGCCTCAGGCAATTCACTCTGACAGAGAACAGGGGAGACAGGATGCCATGAATAAAAGGAGCAATTCACTCTATACTTAAATCAACATTGTAATAGTGTCAAGACGAAATCGGAATATTTGAGGGGAAGCAAAAAATAATTGTAAAATGTAAACAGACTATATAAAATGCTGTTGCTAACATGAATGTGTTTGTAATACCAGAGGGATGGTGACATCTTCATACGGCAGCTTGTCTTCCCTCCAGGCATCATCAGTGAGATCCAGGACTCTCCCATCTCGTTGGATTTCACTGTCCATCTTCCTAGCAGGGCCCTGTTCAAACTCTCAGAATGTCTCCCCTGACAGAGTTAGTTAGCTTCAAGCTAACTGCAACACTGAACACACTGCTGCAGAATGTGCAGATACCTGGTTCACTGCTACTAGTTAACATCCAAACAACCATAAATGGTCAGAAATACATGGTAAACAATGTATTCGAAAAATATGTGGTTTCAGTTTGTAGTTTTCAGAAGGTTTTTATTTACTTTTAACCGCTTTACCAATGCATATCAGAAGTAGTGCGGTAATTATACGTAAACATCCGGCGCCTGGTGATGATGTCGATTAATGACGCCTTCATGTACTGGAGAAAATGGGAAACTACTGTATCAGTTACACATAGATACATTCTACATATTCTTCTCACAATCCATTAAAAATACAATTACGAACAACAACAACATCCACGACAACAACAATGATGTTTAATGACGGTTTTATGCGAGTGTACAAAAGGCTCCACAGAAGTAAAACGCCTCCTGTTTCCAATGAAATTTAAACGGCCATCCCACGTATTGTTTTGCGGTCCCCATGGTAACCAGATTACTCTTCTTTGAGCTGTGTTCCTGTGAAAAAGACGTCCCATTCCTTGTCTCTGGTTTACTGCAATTGAAGGTAACTTTATTTAATTGATAACAATTGTACTACATGCAACAATAAGCTTAGTCAATTAAGGGTATTTTAGCATCTTGCCATGGAGATCCCTACAGTGTTGTTCGGTGTGACCAAGTTTTTTCTTTTGAAGTATATGGGACTACTTTATTTATTTCTACTCGTTCAATGTTAAAGACTCAACAAATCCTTCTATAACTATACAAATGTAGGTTATTTCAAACGAAATGAGAGAGCACCTCAGTTTTTCAGAGCCCTGCCAGTTTTAGACATTCATTCAGAATGAGCTTGTTTTTTCCCCATCATCATGTACTAAGGCTGTGGTTTGTGAATTCTGATGTATATTTCTTATTACAGGCACTGCAATAATGTCAGCTTCTCAAGAAAAGCAGGTGGAAAATACAGAGCCGTGTGCCAATCCTGGAAACCCAGTTTTCTCCTGCATGTTGACTTCAGAAATGAAAGGAAGACACCTAGCGCTGTGGTCCAAGACCCAGAATCCACTGTACAGGACAACTTCCAGTGACTATGGTCTTCGCACTCAAACCTCTGGAACCTCGCGCCGTGCTTTCTACCCTAAATCACAAAAATTCACTGAGGAAATTAGAAAGACTGGGCTGTTTCGTGACGACTCTCTCAATACTGCTCTTGACCGAAGCAAGGTGTAGGACTGTCCCGATTTACAGAACACCATCTAAATGCATGATTGACTGTCAATTCATCTGTGTTCTCTTATTCATGAGAAGTTTTGGTTTAGAATAAATCACTATGTAAATGGAAAAATGAAAGCCTAAGCAATTTATTAACACACAGCTATCTTTCTCTTTTCGTTAAATCCTGTAGAGAACTTATTTATGTCTGACAATCCCCTACATCTTAAACAATGCTATTAAAGCTTTAGTAGTTAAGCCCTGACTGTACATGTCACATATTTACAACACTACATCTTGCTTTAATTTACCCAAATGACCAACAAGCTGATTCTCCAAGGTTTTTTTTAAATAATGCAAATGTACAAATGCAATCTTTCCATCCTTACATTGCCTGGCATATCTTTATACGTTGAATGTTTGACTATATATATACACAAATAATAAAATCCAACATTGGTATGTAACAGCAATGCCTTACAAAAATGATATTTATCTTGCAATGGAGCTTGTTCTTTTTCTATAAGCTACTTAAAAAGACATGATATTAGTTTTGTCTTTCCTCTCCTTCAGTCCTTGTGGTGTCTGATGATTGCATTCACGCACACTGGGAACATTTGCCCTCGCAGTGTCTGGTAGCCATTTATTCGCTTTCATCTAATTTCTGGTTTTGTTGGAATTTTCTTTCATACATTATTCAAACATTGTAGTAAAGCTCTCATTTCAAGGGTTTACGTTTTTACTGTAGTCTAATATAATTACTGTAGGCTATGCAGCTTTATTTCTCAAGTAAAAATATTGTAATAACTTGTTGATTTAATGCTTGATTCTCGCCATATTTTTTCTGTCATCAAACAATATTATAATTTAAATATCATACACAAGATATTTCAGTAGGTTTCAAATACATCCTTGATCATGAAAGAAAGACAGATTTGTGTATTTAACACAAAGGGGTCTTTACTGTATGTTGACGTTGTGTTCCACAGAAACCCTCCTCCTACTCCGCCAGCCGCGCCTCCGCAGCTACAGCTGATGATGGCCAATGCTACGGAACTTAGCAAACAGCTAGCGGTGTAGCGACGTTAACATGTGTACGACGTGTTACCTGGTCGTCCAATGAGTGTGATATATTAGAGTTCAGCAAAGGAGTGTTGAGGATTATAGACGGGTCATGTTAGGGTTCCCCTGTACTCCACCGGCGTTTGAGTATCGCGTGTAGCTCAATGCTAACCAGGTTAGCTTGCTTGTGTAGTTTGACAGTAGGATCAGAGGAGTGTCCATCTAACCGGGCTAACAGCTAGCTGCTTAGCTACAACACAACGTAGCTACTAGTGAGCTGTCTGTTTTGTAAACTATCCGGCCTTGCTCGACTGTGTGTATATGCTGCTGTTTTTCAAGAACTCATAACGTAAGTATTGGATTGGGAAATGTAATCATCAGTATAGGTTACTACAAATTGATAAGGGGAGTTGGTGAGACTTGGTTTTTATGTGGAACTGCTATCTAATGCTACATGTTAATGCCTGCTTTGATGGGTGGCTAGCTTGCGAGTTAGCTAACTTAAACTATATGTGTATAATATTATAACGTCGCAGTGATTTAGTACATGACGATCTCATAACTGATATACTGAGGCTATGTGCTAAAGCAGCACAGCTATTTCAATACTAGACATCGGTCGGCCACTGTGCAAGAAATAAACAGCAACATGGACAAATGCTGATTTGGTTTCAATTTATTTTTTATATTATTGTATTTCTTTCAGGCTTGACATTTATCTCGTGGGGTATGTAACCTGAGCTAGTTTAAAGCTTTGCTGCAGACAAAAGGTTATCAGCTGTTAAACAGTTGAATAAACAGCTCTCACAGACTAAAGTTGGGGGGTGAATTTCACTTTTTCTCTTTTCTATTTCCACAGCCATCCCAGCCCTGGATCAGAACTGGACCTGAGCCTTGGCTGTATATGATGTTCAGAACTTTTTTTTGTTGCATCACCTGAGCCTTACTGGTCCATTTACCTGGCATTATTAATCACGAACCAATCACACATCTCTGCTTGGCAACAGTATGATCGCTCATGCTGACCCCACCCAGCCTTCTGGGACAAGAATATCCCAAAATCAAGCTCTCCAAATGATATGATAGTAGCCACCTGGATCACTTTTTATGCTTGCAGGAGCCTCGCACGGGTTCTGCTCTTCCTTTCCTCCTCCAACTGCCTTTGTCCATTCAGGGAGACCCTTGCGAGTGTGGTCTCCGGCACTGGAACCATGGGTAACAGCTGTGTGTGCCGGGAGGATAGTGACCTGGAAGATCATCACCATGGCTCGTCAAGGGCAACCCGAGGACAGGCTAGGCGGGTGGACCACGGTACCGGCGGGGGTGTTGATGCCGGAGAAGTGAGGAGCAGCAGACCCAGGGACCCCGTCAGGCCTCCACGCCGAGGGCGAGGGCCCCATGAACCAAGACGGAAGAAGCAGAATGTGGATGGTCTGGTGCTGGACACACTGGCTGTCATCAGGACACTAGTAGACAAGTAAGTCTCATGAGAGTAATGATATTGATAAAGATGAAATAGAGTCAGTGGTCTGTACAGTTTCAAATAGTTTTTCTATACATTTGACTATGATGTCTGTTGGGAATTCAGCCATGTGAAATACTACTATCGTCATTTTGGTTTAGAAAACGTAAGTACTTTAAAGTTGTCGCAATTAGATGTGGATTAGGGATTGGAAGACTGGGTATTGGATATTTAGAGCCCAAAGGAAGGACACGCTCTGGGAGTACATTGGCACCAGAAAGTCTTTCCTGGAGCAAAGAAGCCGCCACACATGCAAGCCGTAGCCAGGTTGTCTTTGACTTGAATAGTGCTCCAAGCAGCAGGTATTTTGAATTTTACCTGTGGCTTCAAATAGTTAGAACTCCTTAGAGAGGACTTTGAGTCATTGTTCTTTTCACAATGTTTCCTTCCTTGGTGTAGTGATAACCTGCTGCAATGATTAAGCAAGATTTGCATTTACTGTGATAATGCTGCTGGAGTACTTTCTTCCTCCCTTTCCACTGAGCTATTATTCGCTTTTTTTAAAAATAGAAATGCCGTTCAACATGAACCTTTCTGGTGTTGATTAATTTCCTCTTCATGAATCTGGCCAACAAAGCATCTCTTATGTTATGGGGTCTCTTTATCACTTTAAATAATGTTGAATTATGTCCAGAGGGGCTTTTTCACAAGGCTCTGCAGCCCCATGTTCCTCCCTACATGAATGCTTTTTTGAGGACAACGATCCAATTTCCAAACTCTTGTCACATGACTGTTCATAAATTCGAGTTTATAGTTAAACGTACCAGGCCGCTTCTTGAAGGAAAATGAAGTTTCAGTATTGAGTTATGGCTTTCAAAATGAAACCAGACCTCAGCTTGTAATGGGGCATGAAATGCAACAGTAATGGCGGCGTCATCTAAAAACAGCGTCCATGGAGATAAATCATTCATGCTTGCCTTGACCCATTGCTGCAATCACAGACACAAACAAAGGCGTTCATCATTATTATTACTCACATGCAGTGATCAGAGTGTCATCATTATGTACTCTCTGGTTGAATTCTCTACAGAGAAACCCTACTTCTGTGTATGCACATAAATGAAGTCATAAATCACACAAAATAGAGCAGAGTCGAGCTGAACAATTCTAGAAACTATATAAAATGGCGATGATTTTGGGTCTCATTTCGAGAGGGTTAAGCCGATGTTATGGCTTCGGGAAAATTGTGTTCAATTGATGAGAGTTTATAATGTATAGCGCTCAAGTAAGTGAGTAACCAGTTGTCAATAAATGATGCTCTTGTTCTTTTTCCAGTGACCAAGAGCCCCCTTACTCCATGATCACTTTGCACGAGATGGCAGAGACGGGTAAGGATGAAAATGAAGCACTCACATTCACACACTGCAGAGAGAGCACTTTGTCCAGTTAATAAAAACAAATAGTAAACAATATGCAAAAAATGTGACAGGATGTGATAAAAAAGCACTCTTCTTTAGTTTTGAAAGGATCAGAGGTTGTACCACAGGAAACGCAGTCTTGTCAGAAAAAGTGAATTGACAAGGTGGCTGATGTTGTCTCATCATGACTAAACCATTTCTTCGGTAGTGATATGCACAATCCTTCCGACATAGTTTCCTCAGGTTAAAATGAAAGTATCCACTGTACCTGTCCATATCTGATGTTAAACTATTCCGGAGATGTGTCACTTCGAATGACTGATCAGCAGTCCTAGGAATTTAAACAGTTCCCTTCAGAATATGCTGTCCCATCCCCCTGGGGATGTTTTTGAGAATTGCTGAGGTAGTGATATAACAGCTTTGTAAGCAGCAGACAGTCGCGCTACTCTTTTCAGTGACGGTTTCTCCTAGCCTCGTTGACGCTTCATTCAAATCACCAGATAGTATGTCACAAACTGAGGTAAAGATAATATTGAGAATATTATCGACATATCCCACATGTGTTAATATGAAAAGGCTATATTCGTTATAAGGCCTAATTCAGAACATCCACAGATCTTATTTGCTGTTGTCATATTTACAGTGGAAAATGGTTCGGTTGCTGTTTGTGTTGGTTTGAATGACAGGTTTAATTCTTATTCTGGTTTGGGTTTAAACTTTAGTTGATGTTTGTGTGTGTTTTTGGTCTGTTGTGTTTGTGCTTTTCTCATGGCACATGATGCTCTCATGCGCTGTGTGTTTGTTTGTATTCAGTAGCCTATGAATTCTTGAGTTTGCACATATGGTGTTTGATGCTCACAAGGCGTGGTGTTGTGTGCTTTGACAACAGCCATGTCGGGTATTAGCTTGCAGATACTGAACCCTAAAGGCAGCCAAGCAGAAAGCCAGTCACTTTCTGTTTGACATGTGCCATGATGTTACATTATTCATCAGGCCGTTCACTGCGGCTTTCAGAAGGGATGGTGGTAGAGAGAGACTCTTACTGAGTCATCTAATGGACAGGATATTCATGTTTCAGTAATTATGGTGCATCTCATTCTCATATTCCGGTCTGTCTTGCACACAAAGGGATTTCCTCCTAATTATTTTTAGTAAACTGGATAATGGGACTAATGTTGGAAACGCCTGTGTGTGCTCTAAGTGTGTATTATTATTATTTCAAACAAGGAGAAACGTCCAATCTGTTAAGTCTTAAACCAACCTCTTTGTCTCCTATCCCACAGATGATGGTTGGCTGGAGGTTGTCCAGTCTCTGATTCGAGTGATCCCATTGGACGACCCACTTGGCCCTGCAGTGATAACCCTTCTGTTGGATGAATGCCCCCTGCCCACCAAGGTTAGTGTCTTATAGACATTTGAGGTAAGAACTTTGTAAGGCATGGTTTCTTTAAAATAGGCCAAATTACACCATCTATCATAGGCAAACATTTTCAAAACAGACATTACCTTCAGATTTCAATCAGTCCTTGAA